ATATTTTGTAAAACTAAATAATAATGTGGCATTAATTTATCTTAGATGGATATGGTATGTCTTCCACGTTAGGGCGAGTGAGAAACACGCGATATTAGAGGGGTTTAAAATCCATGTTTTAATCGAGTACAAGCATTTAATTGAAGCTTTATGGAGTAAAAGTGCCAGGATGTCAAAACCGAATAAGTAGAGGTGTCTAATAGGATATTTTGCCTTATTAATAAACTCACGGTTCAACATCAAATGTTACAAATTGGTATTAGTTACCCAAATAATTTCACGACATGTCTCCCAACAGGACTGGTCTTGTTGAATGTCCTTGTTCTTGTGCTCTTAGCGAAATGTCCCCATTATTTACTTGAACATCATACTTCTTCAATATTTAAAGGTTGAAATTCTTGTTTGATGGGTAGAAGGTTAAGGTGCATTATCGCTAAAATTATTTTAATATTGATAATTTATGCTTATAATTTAGGTTCAAATACTAATTTAGTAATTTAATCTAAAAAACTTAAAACTATTTCATTGTTGGACCTTAGAAAGCATGGAAGAATACAAAGTAAGCCTTTTTAAGTTGGTTATTTGACTAAATTGGTAATTGGGAACTCTTTGTGTTGGTATTTGAAAGTTTTAACTCAAACTTGAAATTATTTGGAGCAGATTTGGGATAGTTTGACTGAAATTGAAGTTTCAAATTTGAAGAATACTTTGTTAAAACAACATAAAAACTATTATGCCAATCGACTAGACTTCGATGAACAACTCAATAGATATGTAGAGTAAATATAACATAAATTCTATCAATCCACTAAAGCAATTCCTGAAGAGCAAAATTATGCCAACATGGTAGACTTTGATCAACAACTTTAACATATAGGTAGTGTAGCATAAACTCTACCAATCTGATAGACAAACGCTGAAGAGCAATAACTATGTGCGGGTCGGGGGCCATTTTTTAAATACCGCCAATTTTGGGAACATTCTGCTAAGACCAATCCTTTGTGGGGCAATAAACGAAAAATTCTCTCTCTAAAACTAAACTCTCCCCTATTTTCTACCAACGCTGTGAACAACACGTGCCACCTCATGGAGGTCCCAGGCGGTGGCCATGCGGCGCGTCTGGAACACCAAACCGATCCCCCTGATGCGGGGCAGCACCCCCAAGGAACAATGAAAGGAAAAAAACTATACGCACCCGCTGTAGTAACAGCGAACAACTCTGCCCCGACCCCAAATCGTCAAGAACAAGTAGCAGTAATTGCAAGAAGAACCACCCACAATGGAATGCCAGCAGTAATATTCAAAGCTAAAGACTACAATGGTGTGATGGCGGAGGAATGCAAGCGGACCTTGGTTGGAAGATTTTCTAGAATAAGACCTCACATTGATAAAATTAGGGCTCAATTTTCTGAGAAAATTACTTTGAAAGGTATAGTCAAAATTGGGGTATATGGCAATTAAAATGTGTTCTTGGACTTTACAAATGATGAAGATTTTGATGTTACAAGATTCAAAAGGGTGGTGGAAATCGGAGGCACTCAAATGTGGATACAAAAATGGACTCTAGATTTTGAATCTGATGAAGATTTGCCGATCGCAACTGTTTGGGCATTGCTACCGGAACTCCCTTTCCATATGCACACTTGGCAATATGCCAAGCAAGTCATAGGTCGGGCAGGAACTTCGCTTGAGCTGGACATCGCTACACGATCCAAAACGAGACCAAGTATGGCCAAGGTTCGAGTGGAGAGTGATCTTCTTAAACCCCTGCATACCTCTGTATTTGTGGGAGCTGAAGATGAGAACATTCCTCTAAATGGCTATGTTCAAAAAATTGAATGGGAGAATGTCCCTAAATATTGTAAACATTGCTGAAAGTAGGACATTCCTGGATTAACTGTTGGGTAGTTAAAAAAAAGAAACGAGAAGAGAATGCAAAAAAGAAGGAGGAAGCAGGGGAATCAAGTAAAGGGAAACAAAGTGATGAGATCAATGACAGATAATAACTGAAAACAGATGAAGGCAATGTAGAGGAGAATTGGCAAGTTCCTAACACTAAGAGAAATAGGAAAAAGAAACTGCACAAAAATACTGAAGAGAAGCAGACTGAAAACAAAAAAGAGAATGCCCAAAAGACAGAGATAAGGTCGAATGGAGCTCAAGACAACAACATATCACAACCCCTTGCAAAGTTCAAAAAGAAGAACCTAACAATGCCTATGCTCAGAATATGAAAGAGGGCAGAAAGAAGAAGAAGAAAATGATTCCCAAAAAGAAAAGTTCTGTAATGTTCAAACCTTTGGGGAAAAAGAAGAAGAAAAACACACCTAAGAATGCTACTGGAGGTAAAACAGTAGCTGTAAATGCTGTCATGGAAGAAAGCCTCAAGGAGATGGGAGTGATGAAGAACAACAGATCGACGAATATAGAAAACACTCAGAGAGTGACCTCCAATGCCAATTCGGATAATATTGAAAAAGTGGATGAAAGCTATCCTATTGAAGATAAGAATAGCAATGACAACAGGGAAGATGTAGGCCAACATTTCGAAATAAATAAGACTGGAAACAATTCAACGACGAAGTGCCATAACTCGGGGAGTGTCAACATGGTAGAACCAAATAGAAAACAAGGAGGCTCTAATACAAAATCTAATTCCTTACCATCAGAAATCAAAAAATATCCTGGAATTCAAGTTGTGGTAGACCTCAGTGGATACAACATTGAGGAGAAGAGGATGCAAGACCATGGTAGGATGATTGAGGAAGGAATTGGGAATTCTAATATGTCTATTTCAGATAACAGTGATGAAACTCGCAATAAACAACCTGATGACCCGGCTGAAGCTCATTTAAAAGAGATTTCCATCTGACAGGGAATCTCCCCTGTTAAAAGAGGCAGAAGCAGAAATAGAAAGACTGGAAAAAACAAAGAAAAAATGCATCCTTCCTCTAGGGGAAGGAGTCAAAGTTGATCCACTCCCTCCTTTTCTCCACGATTAGTGCAATCATATGGAATATAAGGGGAGTGAGGTCTAAAAAGGCCTTGCCTAGATTGAAAAATCTATGTCATATCAACAACATAGACTTTGTAGCCATTATGGAACCTTTCATCGACAAGAAGAAGATTGAAGGTTACATGAGATTCTTGGGATTTCAACACTGCCAAGCTAACACGAATGGACATATTTGGTGTTTCTGGAAACAGGAATATACTTCTACTATCATAGCCAATGAAGAACAACAACTCACTATGAAACTCACTCATGCTTTACAAAATAAGGAGCTCAACATTACAGTTGTCTATGCTAAATGTACTGCTAAGGAGAGAAAGGAATTATGGACCAGTCTTGAAGATACACACTCAATCATCAATGGTCCATGGTGTATTGGGGGGTAATTTCAATATTATCATGGATCCGGAGGAGAAATTGGGGGGCAACCCCCATAGAATGTCTAGAAGCCTTTATTTCTCTAACTGTATGGATCACTGTGAGGTAGTAGACATTGGATTTATTGGTCCTAAATACACATGGTGTAATAATTGGAGACCAAGGAAAAGAGTTTGGAAGAGACTTGATAGAATCTTCATCAACGACACCTGGGCTCACCTTTTTCAGAATTACACTATCAAACATCTCAACAGGTCGGGCTCCGACCATAGACCTCTTTTATTCAAAAGTAAGGACAACCAAACAATAAAGATCAGTTATTTCAGGTTCCTTACTTTCTAGACTAAACAGCCAGGATTCCACGACATGGTTAAAGAAGTTTGGGACACCCCTGTTCAAGGTAATCCAATGTGGAGACTGCATCAAAAATTGAAAATTCTTAGCAACAAGTTATCAAAATGGTCCAGAGAAAACATAGGTAATGTGTATGATATGGTGATCAAGTGGGAAAAAGAAGTGGAAACCTTAGAAGAACTTGATCAAGCGTGTAATACAGAGACGAGCAGAGAAAACCTCAACAAAGGCCAAGCATAGTACATTAAATGGCAAGCTATGCAAAAATCTTTGCTAAAACAAAAATCTCAAATTCAATGGTTTGAAGAAGGTGATTGTAATACAAAATACTTTCACAGTGTTATTAGAGAAAGGAGAAGGAAGACTCAGATCCACAGAATCAAAAACCAAGGAGGGAATTGGGTCAGAAGTGAAAAAAAGATTACGAAAGCGGCTATTAAACATTATGAGAAGCTCTTTAATCTCCCGAAAAAGGATGGCAAGATGGATTTCATTGAATGCATCCCTAAAATTGTCACTGATGAAGAAAATGACCACCTGACCAAGATGCCTACAGAAGAGGAAATAAGGGAGGCAATTTCCAACATTGCCAGTGATAGTGCTGCTGGCCCGGATGGTTTCAATGGGGCTTTTTATCAAAGTTGTTGGCATATTATTAAAGAGGATATCACTCAATTTGTGCAAGCTTTCTTCAACGGTGCTCAACTCACTAAGTATTATGCTCATACTTGTCTAGTCCTTATTCCCAAAGTTGATGCTCCAGAGACTTTCTCTAATCTAAGACCTATCAGTCTTAGAAATAAATTATCTCCAAAATCCTCTCCAAAAGATTGAATCCGCTTATGCCTAAACCGATTTCCAATAATCAAAGCAGTTTTGTCAAAGATAGATTGATCACGAAAAATGTCCTTCTTGCTTAGGAAATTGTCCAGAGTATTGGCAACTACAACAAGGGGGGAATATTGTTATTAAACTGGATATGGAATAAGCTTACGATAGAATGTCTTGGGAGTTCATTAATGCTGTGATGAGGAAATTTGGCTTCTCCGAAAAATGGATCAACATGACTCGAAATCTTTTATCCAATGTTTGGTATTCCATTATCATAAATGGCACCAGGAACGGATTCTTTAATTCCTCCTAAGGACTGAAACAGGGAGACTCTCTGTCTCTGTCATTATTCATCTTGGGATCAGAAGTGTTGACTAGACTCCTCAACAAGCTTCATGAGAATGGAAAATTTACTCTGTTCACCATGCCAGCAAAAGGGCCTCAAATAAATCGCCTTGCTTATGCAGAAGACATTATTATTTTCTCAGTTGGAAACAACAAGACGATCAGGTTGATAATGGAACAAATCCATAAATATGAAATGGCATCGGGTCAGAAGCTCAATGCAAACAAAAGCTTTTTCATAGCGGCTCCAAATACTAAAGTCGGGAGAATCAATAGAATCAGAAATGCCACTAGATTCATGGACAAACAATTTCCTATCAATTATCTGGGGTGCCCTATATATGTTGGGAGGAAGAAAATATGTTACTTTGAGGAGATGGTTGCAAAGATAGTTAAGAGGATCAGTGGTTGGCAAGGAAGATTGTTATCCTACGGAGGTAAAGTGGTCATTATTAAGAATGTGTTACAATCCCTCCCATTATACACCCTCTCTGCCATGAGCCCTCCAAAAGCTACACTTAATCTGATTGAAAAGCATTTTTCAAGATTCCTTTGGGGATCCAGTGGTGACAAGAATAAGTTTCATTGGAGTTCATGGAAAAACCTTTGTGTCCCTAAGGAGGAAGGTGGTATCGGAATTAGAAGAATGGAAGACATCAACGAAATTTGCAGCATTAAAAGATGGTGGAGATTCAGAACATGTCCTTATTTATGGGTCGAATACCTTCGAGCTAGATATTGTGTAGAGCCCATCCAGGTGAGAAAGCTATTGCCTCAGGCAACTCTTATTCTTGGAAAGCTCTTCTTCATGCGAGAGACAAAGCGGAAAAGAATATTCTTTGGAATATTAACACAGGCAACTGCAGTTTTTGGTGGGACAATTGGACAGGTAAAGGACCACTTGCTAAAGTGGTCAATCACACTAACACCTCCGGTAAGGTTCAAGTTTCCTATTTTTTAAGGAACGAGGAGTGGAATATACACACGTTGGAACAGATTCTGCCCAATCACATTGTTCATCATATCATCAACATTTCTAGAGGGAGGCAGAACAATAACGACCTGGCCATTTGAAATCTTACTGAAAATGGGCATTACTCTAGTTCGTCGGCCTGGCACATGGTTAGAACTAGTAACCAAAGAAATCCCCTTGTGGGTAAAGTGTGGCATGAATGTATTCCCTTCAAAATGTCATTCCTTGTTTGGAGAATGATTCTGAAAAAACTCCCCTTTGATGACACCATTAGGAAGTTTGGCAATCAACATGCAACTATTGTAACATTCCTCATTATGAAAGCTTGCATCATGTCTTCATTAATAGTGAGGCCGCTAGAGAGTTATGGGAATTCTTTGAAAATCCTCTGGGAATCCGGCATCAAGCTGTTTCCATTAGTAGTTTTCTCACTCAATGGTGGCAGAGGAAACAAAGAATATGGTCCATAAGATGATCCTTCACATTCTACTTATCACTATCTGCTGGGAATTATGGAAAAGCTATACCTCTTGCAAGTTTGGAGAAGGAAAGAAATTTATCCAGTACAAGACGAAGTCGCAAATGATTTGGAATACTAATGCTGCGATCAACAGGAAATATCCTTTAATTAAGACCCATACTCACTGGTACAAAAATTGTGAGATGATTGAGCATCTGAAACCTATTCCTATATGGAAGAGTGTCTTATGGGAGATGCCTCCTCATGGCATATTGAAGCTGAACATAGATGAAAATTTTAACAAATAAAATGGGAAAGCAGGGATTGGAGGGATTCTTAGAGATGAATATGGAGGCTTTGTCATGGCATTCTCGATGCCTATTCACTATAATAGCAGCAGTGAAGTAGAGTTGAAGGCTATCAAGTTTGGGTGTGATTGGTGCAAAACAAAGGAAACTCGAACTTCATTGTGGAAATTGACTCGAAGATGATCTGTGACATGATCCAAGCCAAAAATCTGGGCAACAACAAGCTGAAAAAAGAGGCTAAGGAATTAATGAATAATCTGGAAATATGCAGGGCAACTACCAACCACTGCCTTCGTGAAGCAAATCAAGTGGCAGATTGGTTCGCTAAAGAGGCCACCATATCCAACGAAGGCATCATCCATACTGATTTCAGTCAGCTTCCAAAGGCGGCCAAGGGGCCTTTCTTCATGGATATATGGCATGTTCCTTCTTTTAGAATTAGATACGAAAAATCCAATTTTTTTGTAAGTTAATTCGGTGTATAGAGGGAGAAAATTGGTCTAATATGTATTTTTGCCCATAGGCTCTTCCTCTCTTAAGGTAGAAAGGTATTCATAAGGTAAGGTTTATGTCCCCCTTAGTGTACACTTTTTGTTTATATAATTGATAAGGTAGGGGTCTAGCCAAACCCCCCAACGCCACAGAAGATGAAAACCTGGGTGATTGGCTTTTATAAAAATAAAAAAAAAACTTTATGGGGTCGTTCCTGTCAATCACCCCCAGTTACCACGATCAATTTCAATTTTTTTTTACTTATATCTCGTATTACATCAAAATATATTACTTAATCATGATTAAAATAATATATATTAGTTAATTATAATTAGAAATAAATTCATATGTAAACATTATCACGAATATATTGATTTAATAGAAACATCAATTATAAATAAATGTGTCGATCAAGACTTGCTTACTAGTACTTCTTTCTCTTTTTTCACTATCCCACCACCTAGGTCCCAACTTTTGTTGCTTGGCTTCGTAAAGTTATTAAAAAGATATGGTCACTTGGATAAAGTATATTAGGCGAATATAATCAAAAGTTCTACCTAGATATTATTTCTTTGCATAAATAAATAAAAGAGTTAATTATATTTTAACTAACCTTATTCTTAAAAAACTGATAATATTAGAATATTACATTATAAATAAATAATTGACTAACTTAACTACTTATTAAAACTCCCGATGAATTCATTTATGAATCCGACGATCACAACAAAAAGTGAGTAGCACTCAATGTAGCCAACTTGTATTTAATACTCGTAAGTCTCAAACTACATTATAAATTCCCGGTAAAAAATAACTCACAATTGGAATAAAGTTACAACTTCAATTGTTGCCATTCGACGTAAATGGTAAATTATTTATAACGTAACCCCACCAAAATAAAATAGTTTGTTTCATTTCAGTTTATATGATGTTGTTTGATTAAGTTACTTCTTTTATCTTAATTCAGTATTAATAAAATGAAGAATGATATTTATAGTTTTCAATGTGCTATATGTTAAAGAGAATGTTGCTCAATGATAAGCACCATTTACCTCCAACTTTGATGTTGTGGGTAGAGTCACCAAAAGAGCAAAATGGAGAGCATCTAAGGAGGGTAAAAAAAAAAAGGGTAATTAAAATACTAATTTAAAAGAAAAACATTTACTCTTTCTTAGTGCTTATATTAAGCTAATTAATTCATCACATGTATTTTTAAGAACATCATTGTTTAATTATAGATACTTAATATTTATTCTCGATCATTATTTTTACTTACATATTATAAATATAATTAGATATGAAAATGAAAAAAGTTAGTTTAGGGAGTGTATCCCTTTTAGTGAATCTTACGCGATACAAATTTAAATTAATTTTTTTATTGGATGTCCCCGGAGGGACTAATTTAAAATAATTAAATTTTCATATAAATTTCGTACCTATAGAATATATATATATGCGCTCGGTATTTCTATTGGATTTATGACCTAGCCGCCTATATATTTGCTAACTATTACACATTTACACTTGGTCAAAGCATCTTACTGGTTTCCTGGTTTATGCATTTCCTTAACAGGGCAACTATTGCGGTTCAGATTCATGCACCTAACTTTGCACCTAAATTTGCCGTGTCTTACGTGGCATATCTTTTCATTACGTGTCTTTCTAAATCTACTGACACCTATTTTATCCTTTTTCATTAAAAAATCTCTTAATTAGATCTTGCTATTGGCTACCCACTACTTTCTCATTTTCACTCTCACCTGTAAATATCTTTTTGCTTAAGAAAATTGCGGAAATGATAACGTCACTGCCTAATAGGAACACGTGGCAATCAAATAGCTCCGCTAGCTTTAAGCAGCTTTGTGTCACAGGCGAGTAAATTTAACACCGCCTCCGGCCCTCTCATTTCGGAAAAGCATTTACTCCTATAATTATAGACTGTTGAAGCCACGTAGGAATGATGGGACCCACTATGGGACCACAGCAAAAGAAGATGGCCCACTGACGTGGAGCCCGCCATTTTGCTTTTTGTTCTTGTCGCTTCTGGGGTTTTTTATCGTTAAAGAATTCGCTCTGTTCTGCCACGTGTACTAACGACATGCTACGTCATCTTAGCCTACGTGGTTTGCCCTATGACCGTGGGAGTGCGAGGTATCGACACCACCAATGTTGCCCTTAGCTCGCTTACTTAACGAGTAATACATTTTATTTTCAGAATTATGTAGGAAATATTATACCTCAATAATTAATCAGTATGTACTTTTTAATCAAATTTAATTATAAAAAACGAAATTAGAATAATTAAAGTTTTGATTATATATAGTGTATATTACTTTTATTATGTAACGCCATTTACTACTTTAATGCTAACATCATATAAAATATGCCATCTTGAAATTCTAAATATAGGAACTTAGCTTTGCTTATCACAATCTTTTAGCTAATAAACCACGTAATGATTTGTTTTATTGCACCTAGATAGAATATTTAAATACAGTAATGGTTGCACTATTTTTTAATTATTTGTGCAATGTAGTTGTGACATGGCTGGCAAGCAAGTTGTGTGTGGGTCATAGGCTTCTTCTTTAATTTTCCCAGTCTTTCCAATAAAATAAAATAATGGATTTAATATTGGCACTTAATTAGTTTATTGTGGATGGGCTCCTTATACAACAAAGAAGTCATTTTCTTCAAGAACTTCCTATCCTACTATTGATGGGGCATGATTCTCCTTTTAAAAAGTTGGATACCAAGGTAAAAAGTATTCTTCAAACAAATAAATAAATATAAAAATAAGAACGAATTTGAATATAATTACACCGTTTGACTTATTTGTTTGGCTAATTACTTGGTCAGTATGAAATAAAGTTAATTGAAAAGAAGTAGTTATATTCTTCAATTCTCAAAGAAAAGTGAAAATTAGTGATAATTATAGTTTAATAACCACATGATTTTTCAAATCATTTCTTCTTTTCTGTTCTCTTCTCAAAATTTTCTTTTCAAACGTGCCACTTACTTATTTTTCTTTTTTTTTTTCTTATTGCAAATGCAATCGTTGTACATTAATACTGGTGGTAGGATTTCGTATCTGGATGTTATGATAGTTTGAAAATACTATTATGCTTTATCACTTTATAATAATGAGTTTTATATAAATTATGTTGTGGATAGATTAATAAATATTGTTTGTATTTTGTTTCATAGATATATAGTTATATTTTATTCATATAAATATCAGTGCCTTTTAAGCTCATATATATATATATATATATGTGTGTGTGTGTGTGTATATATGATTTTCATATTATATTCAAAGGTAAGATATTAAATTTTTATTGGAATTTTTAAAAACTAATTCAAGTTAAAATATTTTTATTTGAAAGATATTGATTATTATATACTATATTAATTACTAATATATAATTATTAATATATCTTAAAGTCAATATGTACTTTAAATACCTAGATAATAAATAATATTTCTGTCTTATATGCACATATATTTGTCACATATTAAAATTTATTACATGTTCATCTGAAAAATTATTTAATTTTTATAAATACCTTTTATTTTAAAATAAAAAAATCTAATTATGAAATTACGCTTGTGCAACAAAAAATAACAGTAGGAATGACAGTGTTATTATGTTTTGGCAAACAATTACGCTATTCTAATTGCTATACTTCGTAATTGCCTGATTGTATAATTAATAGAGTGGTAACTATAC